CCCCTAATGATAGCATCTACATTCAACCCAGAAACCTCATTGGCATGGCGAGTGAGCAAATCACACAACTCCAACCAAAGCCGGTGCTTGGTTTTACCCTTAATCGAGTAAAAGCGATCATCGTTGAGAACCGAAGCAAGCCTCTCAGCAGACTCTTGCCAGAGACTGGAATTAAGCAAAAACTCAATAAAATCCTCAATGTGAGAGGGGTCGTATTTCAAGTACCTGCGATAAACGCGAAGAGAAGTCTCAATGGGGATACCCTTCTGACTGACAAAGACAAGATATGGCTCCCAAATGCGATCGTGCTGGGTGACGGGGAGGGCGCAGAGGGCCCTATCGAAAGTTCTGCGAGTGCGAGTGACCCATTTCTGGTGCGTTAGGGTTTGGAGGTACATGATCCAAATGCGGGGCATCTTGTGCATGGTGACGAGGGCGCGCTCGAAGGTGTTGTTGAGAGTGTCGTAGTGAGAGTGAGTGACGGGGAGGTTGCGAACGAGGTCGAGGCGCTCGCGGAGGTAAGCGTGCCAGAGCTTGTAGCTTCCGGGGAGCGCCTTGAGGGCGCGCTCGTAAATGACGAAGCGCTTCTTGAACGGAGCCTCCGAACGCGCGACGAGGTAGCGCCACCATAGCTTCAGGCTGAAGGGGTTTCGCAGAAGCTCCTCTTCGTATATGAGGTCGTCTTCCGAAGGGTATAAATCCTGCGAAATCGACATCGCTAAAACCCTAAGCCACACCGCAGTGCAAAATCCGACAAATCCAAATTGCGGTGTCCCTCACAGTGATGAGTAGAAAATAATCAAAATATGTGTTTCTTTCTTTCTTTCTTCGATTTGCTTTGGGTCCGGAGTCCGGATTTACCAGTTATGAGATCTGGGCCGGGTCTTAGCTGCCGCTAAATAATAAGGCCCATTCCCCTGATAGAATTAGTGGGCCGTAGTGTTGGTTAGACATTACTGTATTTTTGGATCAATCTTGGATTACATTTTGCGATATGTAATTTTTGAACATGATTATTTTATTTATTAGTCATAAAAATAAAACGTTCTTTAGTTTTACCTTAAAATTTAGGATTTAATTTTGTAGAATGTTCGAATTTACATTTTTTTTATCATAATATAAACTCGATGCAAACTCATTTCTAATTAAGTTGACGAATTCGGCCGTATAAAACTATTGAGTCGGGTTCATGTTAGGTTAAATTCTTCTTTAACCCATTTGATGAACACTTCTACCTATATCCTTATAGTTGAGGTAAAAAAAAAATTTCTTTCACATAACTAATGGATTTTGAGCCCTCTTTAGTTTTTTCTCTCCTTTCTCGTATAAAATTAAAACTATACATTACATTTAGTGGTCCACACTCCACAGTAATTAGTGTTTCTATTTTTGTAATTGGACAGATTGGTCAATTGGTAGCAAGATTGGTTAATGTTTTTGAGATTGACCGACTTTTATGCCAATGGACCACTCTAAAAGGTAGACCAACCTTACCAAATAGTATTGAACAATCTTTTTTTAAATTAAATGACCTTGTAATCAATTAACTAACTGCAAGACTGTTAAATGTAATGTATGATTGTGATTTTACTAGAGTTACTTAGAAAGAATTTAGATCAATAATGGTTAATATTCTTAATTAAGGGTGTAGCAAAATCTTTTTTGTGTGTTACCTTACCCTTTAAAATTATGCTATTTTATATAATGTTAATTTTAATATTTATAGGCTTAAATATTAGTGTAGAATCATTTAATGGGTAAGTTTGCTCTATACGGCTCAAGTCAATTTCCAATGGTACTCTAGATGTCGAGATCTACAAATTTATTAATTTCTTCTGAATAAAAAATGTAGAATATTATAGAAATCTTTTGGCCATGATGTTTTGTGAAGCATCATAACATCTTAGAAACGTGTCGAGGAACACAAAAAGTTGGCAACATGCTTGATATGTACAAGATTGAGCGAGATATACTAAAAAAAAAAAAACTATAAAATAGCTGAACGTGTCTGAATTTTCTTTTATTTTTTTTATAATAAGTATAAAATACAATGTTCTTTAATGTTAATTTTAATATTTATATGCTTAATTTATATTAAAATCGTAATACTTTATTAATAATTAATAACCTATCGTACTCGTCATATAGCTTTTTAAAATATCAATATATTATATTATACACTTTCCATGTCTACGCATGAAAATTGCTAATTATATATGACTACAGCACTGTGTGATTCACCTTGCAGCATCATCCAATAATACAGGAATGGATTTGTATCTTCTCATGTTAACAAGTAACATGACGAAGTTTTGTTACTATCAGGTAAGGTTGAAGGACTCATAAACAAATGATGAGTCTTGTTATAATCATTTTATGTCTCCTCTCGCACAGTATAACAAAAACTAAATTTATTCTACTGGATATCAAGTTCTTCTAGTATAAGTTAATTAACTGGCAATAGAAAACAAGAACATAAGACAAAAATGGAATCATAATATTCCAAAGTGAGTAAACTTGCTATTACAATGCTGTCATTGTCATGGTTGAAATTGCTGTCTTGCTATTACAAACTCTAAGGGAATCCAACAAAATATTCAGAATAACTTGGCTTCTGTACGTGGCTATATATTGGCCTCATCAAAAGGTCACACCTGCATGAATAATTTCATATAAAGCTAGCACTCGAATGTTATGCATAAATCTGAAGGAAGCCATCACACGTGCATGCATGCCTATATGCTCTTTGCATTTCAGAATGCCAAATCTAATAACTCATAAACGTGGTGAGTTGAAATTGGTCAAAACATCAAGTGAGGCAAAAGTGATGTCAAGAGAGGAAAGAGGAGCACAATAACAAGAACAATGCCAAGAAGTATGGCATAACAAGTCCACTGCCTGGAACTCTTTTGATACTCTCTGGCTTCTTGAAGTTGCTCAGTGCCTCTTCTCACAAAAGAACTAGCATGCGCCACGTGGCTCTCTATGTTGTTAAGTTGTTGCCCTTGAGACTCCACCAAAGCCGCCATGTCCAAAAACACCTGATGCAGCTCGATCAAGTTCTTCTCTATCTCCTTAACAGCGTCGCGTCTTTCTTGAATCTCGGATATGGTGTCCATAATCTGACCCCTCCCTTGTTCCTGAATAGCCCTCTGAAGAAAACTCTCACTCTCTCCACTTGAGATCAAGTTCTCTATGGTTTCCTCATCAGCCTTCTCTCCTGTGATGGTGAAGTACCTTCGTTCAACCGTTTCCTTGTACTCGTTCTGCATTCTTGCTCCTTAACAGCGTCGTGTCTTTCTTGAATCTCGGATATGGTGTCCATAATCTGACCCCTCCCTTGTTCCTGAATAGCCCTCTGAAGAAAACTCTCACTCTCTCCACTTGAGATCAAGTTCTCTATGGTTTCCTCATCAGCCTTCTCTCCTGTGATGGTGAAGTACCTTCGTTCAACCGTTTCCTTGTACTCGTTCTGCATTCTTGCTCTCAACCCTTGAAAATCGTCCATCAAGTCCTTCAGTTTCTTCCCAAGGCCACTGACCACTGAGGTTCTGGTTCGGTCTGCTGAAGAACCTGGACCACAGCCTGGAAGGTTTCTGTTGGCTGCGTTGGAACGTTCTAGAGCCTCAAGCTTTCCCTTTCTGCTGAACATCTTGGTCCATTCTGGCTCGAAGATCCTTCATGGTTTTTGCGTTGTGGACGATTTTGCTTTCTTCGTTTGACTCTTGCAATTTTCTGTAAAGCTTCTCCACTGACCTCATGTCCTCTTTAACGTTCTCCACTTCGTCGAAGAATTTATCGAGGTTGACACTTTCCTTGCCGGCCTCCACATCGTCGATGTGGGACTGCTCGTTCAAGTCGGTGTATTTTCTGAAGGAGCTTGAGATTAGGTCGTTCATTTTGATGAACAATGACTAGCTGTGTGGTGATTGGTGAAGGAGGGAACAGATGGTTTGATGTTACACAATGTTTGTTGTGTAGCTTCAAATCCCACCGCCCCCTCTGGATTACGATCGATTCGAACGGGGAGGAAACTGAAGGTGACAAAAGGCAAAAAGTACCGATTGTCACCAACAACGAGGCCTTCAGGAGAAAAGAGCTTTTGTCTGCATGGGGTGGATGCATTAGAGGTCCATGCTTAATGCTAAACAGGGACCACCCAAATTAACTTTATGCTATTCATAGAAGGCTTTAGAAGTTGGATTAACCTGTGGCCATGCGTTCTTTTATTTTCTACTCTCAATTTAGTGACTTGGTCATCTTTTTTTCTGTCCCCTCACTCATTTTTATATTTTTGTTTTGTGCTTATTCTTCAGCTGAAATTATGATTTCTTCATATTCGAGTCAGGATTGCAATATTCAGTCATCCAATCTATATTTATATTATATTCATTTTACTCTATTCTCAGGCTGCTTCAAGTTTTTACGTTGAAATATCACCCCTAAATATCATTTCACAATCCCAAAGATAAGTTATCGTGATTTTAACTTTGTAACCATGGGTTGATATTTCTTATTTTTGATAATGAAAAAGTTTTAAAAGCTAAAGCACTAAAAAAATATATATAAAAAAAAACCTTCAATCTTGAGTACAAAAATAAGAAAGCCTTGTACACGAGATCCACATGTTCCATAGTTGAATTTTTTTTCATAAAGCATTTCTTTTGGCGAAGAACATCTGCAGATGTTTTTAACTGCAGATTGGTCATATCCAATCTACGTAGTTTAAATGTAAATCAACGAAATTTTACCTAACTACCCTTGTCTATCAGTGGAATCTAAAAGAGAACAAAAAGAAAACGTCACATTCCGTTTGAAACACGTTTTTATCCTTTGTTGTCGTGTTTAGAACACGACTCCGTATAAAAAAATTCCCAAATTCAGTCATTTTTTAAATAAAAGGTACCTTGCTGAAAACAGGTAAAACAAAGGTTTACAGAAATACATTCTCCTTGCTTCCCCTTGAAACAACCAAATACTTATCGGTGATAAAGCAAAGGTTGCTTGCAGAAAATTGTGGCTACATATTTGAAATTTCCAATCAAGAGAAACAAAGAACGGAACTTGCAGTTACTATAAAGCAAAAACATCTTACAGGCTAAGAATAAATTGGGAGAACAAATTAGGCGTAGTTACATTTTCAACGTTGTTGAAATCAGGTGGCACGGTGAGCTCTCAAAAGAAACTAAACAGCTCCAACCTACAACCCCAATCAGCTGCATTTCATAGTTTTCCTACACAAACCACTATGATGCCCACTTATATTACCAGAATATATTGGTTTCTCACCATTTTTTCCTACCCCTCTTTATGTACAAACATGAAAAAAACAAGAAGCCGAAGTGGATAAAATGTACAGCAAAATCTTTCCCCACTTCAATTTAGCTTTGCATGAAAGTAACAATTATGGCTGCCGCCAATATGATTTTCACACATTCATAGACAGAGATTGGACATGTTCCTTATCAGCATTATGACTACTGCTGCCATGGGCAACACCATTGCTAAGTTTCTCCTCCCTCATTCCATCTACCACCAGCTGTGACTGACTGCCTGACGAGTCTCCAGTACCCAAGTTCACAGTCTGCTGCTTGAGATACCTCTCAGTGGCATCATGGAGCAACTTCATCATGCCACCTGAATCTGACCCAGGTGATAATTCTTCTTCTCGCTCTGGCTGGATATTGAGGTCAATTTGGCCTTTGAATGGCGAAGCAGATGATTTTACTCGGTTTGGATCATCATCAGAACCATCATTACCCTCTTTGTTCTGGTTCGGGCTACTATCACCTGTGTTACTACACGGCAAGGAATCTTCATCAAGCAAAATTTCAGGTGAAGGTAATGGCTGAGGATGTTGTTGCTGTTGCTTTTTACGAGTTGTCTCTGCTTCTTTTTCTGATTGCTTCTTCTCACGTCGTAACATAAGGGTACGGAAACGTCGCTTCACTGTTAAACACACATTACATGTACATGTCTGCTTATGCTTGGGTCCCTTTCCACTGGGAGGCTGAATGCAAACAATGCAAGAGCAGCCAGGTCTATGACGTGGGTGTTTAGTTGTAGCCTGGGCAGACGCTGGGAGTGCTTCACCCTCTCCCAGAATAGCTAGATTTGCAAGTGTATCAAGTCCCTCCAAAGCTTCAGCATTATCAGGATCCTGCTTCGCGGCCTTCATTTTCTTGGAAACAGCTGCCAAGTAAATGCATTTAAAACATAGTAGTTTTCATACCCTAATTTCGCAATTTGTTGCATAGGAGATTAAATCACACGACACAGAATCTGAGACATTTGCTATAGTGAAGCGATTGAACAATTCAAACCTGAATTACAAGGAGGTAGCAAATTCTCAAGTTGCTCTGCTGTCAGCTCTTGTGCAACTGAACAAGAAGATCTGGCAGCATAGAGGATTTAATAAATATAAAATAAAGCATTAATATATTGGCTGCATAGTAATATAGGTTTATAATGTGAGCAAATGATTCTGTGAGAGATAATTGTTAGATTGATAGTTAATCACATGCCTTGTGCAAGTAAACATGAGCCAAGTTAAGGGAAGACGGTGAAAATTGACAAAGTATCTCGACTTGATGCTTGGTATGGCACAGTGTCAATATCATAGTTAAATAACAAACCTTCCTACCTAAAAGTATAAATATCTATGCAAATGCTTGACCATAGCAATTTTACTAGAATCCAAAATAAAGCAAGACAAAGGCATACATTTATATACTATTACGACCACTCTATTATGAAATGATAACCATATGTACATGTCAGCTAATTGTCTCAAAAGGTTCAGAAAGATACCCTCTTAAAAACCTCAGATCACTTTCGGTCCATCCTAATGGTCTAAAATATGAATACATTCTTCCACTAAGGAAAGCTTACTAATTTGTAATTTCATCTTCATATTTGCACCTCAAAAAAGAAAAAAGAAAACAGATGCCTATGAGAATTAAGGGAATGGATCACTTTTGTACCTTTCTGGATCCCATGAATTATCAGAACATGTCCATTTTGATGGAAGAAGTTCACTTGCTGGCAATTTGCGCCACTTAAGACAATCTTCACATTGAGCCCACTGGATCTTATCACTGGCACAAATAAAGATCATTGCTGGGAATTAATTTACGTGGTTAAATTAACAAAACAAGTCTAAATGAGAAATTAATGTTTCTCAGGAACTTAGTGAAAAAACAGGCAAAATACATGCACAACAATAAAAAAAATATATTCATATCATTTCTCCCTGAAGGTACAGAAACATTCAAAAGCCAATGTTTGTCTCCAGGTGAGACAAACCACACGAAATCAAATCTATCTTCATAATAATTACAAAAAAAAAAAAAAATCCTAGGTTTCCATTAGCAGTGCTCTGCATACAACAGAACATCATTCCACATTCTACAAAGAATATATATAAAAGATATATCAACAAATATGTAGAAAAAAATTTAAAAATCAAGATATTTAAAGAAAGTGATCACAATCTAATTAAGGATAAGTGATTTACCCCACATTATCACTGGTAAAAATTGTTGGCTTTCCAAGCACTGGAGCTTCCTGTAAAGGCATTCTCGGCATAAAGGTTTCCACAATGCATAATAATTCCCATAACTCTTTCAATCAAATAAAGCACGAAGAAAGATAACAAAGGCAGACATTAAAATTCCAATCCAACATTGGATGTACAACTCTAGAGACTGACTTCAGCGCTTTAAGCCAGAGACGTGTTTTAGTTGAAGGGCTGGATAATAAGGAAGAAGAAGGGCTTTAAATTTGAAAATTTAGAATACAAAATCCTCAACTAAGACCAGGTGAGGGTCATCAGTCTACTTCATCCCTCCCCTTTCTGTCCACTCAGCCAATGACTATTGAACTTTTCCATATTTCTACTCACAAATTTTGTACCATAATGATTGACTTTGACTATTTTTCAACTAAGATTATAAAGTGATTGACTATATTGCCTGCATCATGTACAAATTAGAAAACTATCATTTGATTAGTTTTATGTGACTAAAAGATATAAACAATTACTCTTCAAAGATGAAAATATTAACTTTTTATTGTAATCACCTTAAGAAAGTTTGAATGAAAGGTCTAGATCTAGGTCATTTCATCACTAAAAAGTATAATAACATTAGCTATCCATAACCCTTTCTGATGTGAAGCAAGAGTGGAAAACTACCTCATACTCCTCAAATTCAAAACCTTCAATCACCACTATGCTTGGAAGATGGCTAGGCGGCGGGCGGAGCAGACCTTGAGCTTCTTGCCATGTAATCTTCAGCTCTATTAAATCCTCATTTTCAATTTTTAGACGTTTACTCTTTGAGCCCAATATGCTGCTCTTTCTTTTTCTAGATATTAAAGATTTGCTCCCCAATGCTTCTTTTGCTATGTATCCTGACTTATCAACTTTAGACCACGAATTAGGATCAGCCAATTCAACCTAAATGACAGATGAATATTGTAACAATGAGAATATCTAAAATGGCAAACATTAGCAATTACGATGCAATTACTTATTTGATACTAACTTCACCATGTGCAGAAAATCCATTTCCAGTCTTATTGGTTTCATTGTCCTGCAAACAGAAAAATACGCACACAAATTCAAATTTTCACCAGACAATAAATATATATGGGATGTGTTAAAAATAACAAATATGCAAACAAGAATAACAAATTATTTATTAAACTGATAAAGTGTCCTTTATTAGAAAATATCCATAACTATAAGATCAGCCATAGTAACCTATGCTGACTCCAGACAATCTGACAAAATAGAAAATTGAAGTCTAATTATACAATAGGGCAGGATAAAACCTCCAGACAGAATCCAAAAAATCTTATCAAGCGAGGTGCTGATTTTGCACATATGTAAGTACACCTCAAAAAGTTATACATTGCTTTTCAAACAATTACCTGATCAGATGGCACAGCACTTGAAGCCTTTCTAAATCCCATAACCAACCTCCCCTCTGGCTCCAACCGGCTAAATGTTACTGAGAAAAATAATTCAGTTAGCCACAAAACTAGAAATTAATTAACAACCAATCAATCACAGCAAGATGGTGGCACAACACACTCAGAAATGCGAGGGGAAATAAGACATAAGCACATAAGACAAAAGAATTCAACAGGGATTATCTGAGGCAAAATTATCACTGCAGAAATTTTAGAAAACAAAAATCCTATGAATTGAATAAAATAGATTAAAGTTCAGTTTTGAAAGAATTCCAACAAAGTATCTTTAGATTGTGTTGGAATCTCCTTCTTGATTGTTTCCTTACTTATGGCCTATTTTTGCACTTATTTTTTCAAGGAAAAAACCCTTTTTAATTAAAAGATATGTTCATAAAAAAATTATGCAAGTTTTTGGGGAAAAGAACAAAAAACCTCAAAGAAAAAACCTTTTAAGTACTTATGAAAAATGTATCTATAAGTTAAAAAAAGAAATAGCTTATGAAAAATGGATCTATAAAATGTATTTTAAAAAAATTGATACTTTTCTAGCTTAAACAAGTGAACTCTTAACTAGGTAGTTAGCCTTGTTGTTAGCTAGTTTGGGCTAGTACTTGACCTACTAATTATTAGTGTGACTATTAGGTTAATTTATTATTGCATATTACATCCCAATAATGTATGTATACCTAACCCTAAACCTATAATTCTTAACAAGGGCCATAAAGAAGGTTCATGCAAAATTGACATGAGGCTAAAGATTCACTTAACAAGAAGGAAACAAGAAGAATACTATATATATTAATATTCCAATACACAAACCACCTTCATGACAATGCTTACCAGTGTCACCAGCCTGCAACTGCATGGACTGTATGCATGGAGTGACACCCTCTAAAACATACATTCTGCTGTTATTGTTTGGCCAGAAGCGAAATTGAAATATCCATTCCTTGCCTTTTGCATCAAGGATTTTAAGTGGCAATCCTTCAGGCTGAGAAATTGGTGGGAAGTAGGTCTGTCTCATGGAGCAGAATAAAATATTATATAATGCTTGATTAATATTCATGAAAAAAATAAGATGACCATGCCAAATAAAAAACAGATTATTGCTAAAGCCTAGAAGCTATTTCATAATTGCACAGCAATCCAAAATAATGCTGATGACTAACTCTACTCTCCAGTTAATTGACTATACTTGAGCAAGATCAAGTATGTAAAGATGGCATAAAATTATAGTGTATATCATGGAAACAGTTAAATTATTAGTTCTTTAACATGCTTCTGAAAAAGGCTAGTCATGATATCCATGCAATTTACAAGGCAGCTCAGAAGCTAATACAAAACTAGCTAGACAACCTTTTTGACATTCAAACTTCAAATCCAAATTGCCTTTCCATATTTCTCCTCAAAATGCCAGGCAAGTCTCCTAGCCTTTTCATCCATAATAAACACCAGTTTAAGCCCTCTATTAAAATTAAAAGGACTACAAAATCCTTTTCAGTGTTGAAATGCCTATTATTAGTTACCTGAACTGCAACAGATCAGAAGTCCATAACAAACCTTTCTTTCTCCCACCTCCAGCTACTATCAAACTCTTCATACTTTCTACTAGCTACTTCATGGAAGAAACTAGAATTGGCCTACACATCCGATTAGCCTGTTTAAGCCTTATATGTACCACCAACCAATCCATTTGTTCCACTGCTTCAATTAATCTTTGCCACACATAGGTCTAACTAAATTATAAATTTGTATCATTCCTAAATTGTCAATAGAGTCAAGCTAAAATACCTCCCTCCAATCAACACATTATAAAATGTGTGACGAACAATGATAAGCCGGAAAATGAGACCTCAAACAGTCTTGCTAAACACCAAAATTACATTTGAGCATGTAATTTAGTGGTGTAGTCCCATTATTTGATCAGTTTCTATGGCCAAGGACTGGACATGTCCTACCACATTGATATTTTCTTGATTCCTACTTTAGTCCTGAAAAGACACCATTCCCCAATCACAAGTATGCAGCTCAGTCCTTCCAGTTTCAACATAATTTCCAGAGAAATACAAGGAGAATACCATGTCATATGAACTTACTAATTACTACAAAGACTAGCTTCACACTGGATAGTATATATTAATTTATATTCCAAATAAGTAGCGTATCAATCACAATTACAGGGCAAAACAAGAGAAATATGGTATGCAGGCATTACAAAAGGCAGACAGTTATTTGTTAGTTATTACAAATTACAAATATTACAAATTATAAATTATAAACTCACTTTACTACGAATATAAAGCAACCACAGATGACAGAACTTATAATCAAACCAAAAATACCATCCCACTAATAGCTTGAAGAATCTCAGGACCAACCTCAGCACACTTTTTGGGTAGCACCAAACGCCCAATTCGCCCAGCATCACTAGCACTCAAGGTTTTTTGAAACAAGGGAGTAATTACGGAATTTGAACTGGGAAGAAGTTAAGAAACTGTAGCTTCCAATATGGCTTTAGACATAATAAGAAAATGAAGTGCATTAAAATAGTTAAAAATTATAATTTATAAATATAAACCAACTCCACAATCATATGTGATTTGAAGGATACTCTATAGATATTTGCTGTAGCTCCAGATCAGTACACCTGGGCCAGTACCGTGGAAGTAACTGGTTTCTTCCTCGGGCATCCGCTCGAGGCCGTCCATTGCGTATCTGAGCCTCACATGATGAGTCAGGTGCTAAATGCATATTTCCATTAAATTGCTTTCCTGGAGGTGGTGGAGTTTGTTGTGGTTGACTTCCAGTTACCCCAAGTTGACCATTTCTTTCATTTTGACATGAATTAGGTACAGGCAAACCAAATGGTTGAGGAGATGACTCTTCCTTCAGAGGAGGCTGTGGACACATATTTAAACATGAACTTGATTTGTCCTCATTCCTCATTCCTGCAATATAATGAAGAATCAGGTCATACAATCATCTTCATGCTATTAAGAGACAGCTCCACCGCCTAAACCAGATAACTGACAAGCTAGAAAGTTCAGAGAAATTCAAAGCCTGCATTACCATTCATAAGCATCATCTCCCGTGAGCCAAGCTTGACACTCCAGTTAACTGACATTCCAGACAAATCTTCATTTTTCTTTTCCAAGGTTGAAGAAGGTAATCTTTCATTGCAATACATTTTGTCAAAGCTATTGGATAATTCAACTAAAGAAGGCACGTCTGGAAGCATGTCAGATGAAGAAGCAGAATTGAAAAGACTGGGTGCTTGTTTCCACGGTACAGGACCTGATCCAGCTAACTGAGTCCAACCTTTGGCAGATAGGTCTCTAAGTCTATCCGATATACGACTTTGAAGGGAAAAAGATTGTGGCCATGGCAGGTTAGATGGCTGAGACAGATAACAGAATATAGTTACTATGTCAAAATTGTTTCATCCAATGATCCAAACAGGGCTTAATAATGAAATATTGTCTGAGCATCATGTCACAACAATCAATTGCAGCTTATTTACTTGCCATGGAGTTTAAGATTTAAAGTTATAAGCCAAAAGTGACAGGGGCATTTGCAACTACAAAGCAAGGATATTTGTAATCCTTGGGTAGATAAACAAAGGCAAACTCAGAATGGATTGATATTTATAATGTTAGACATCCCAAAACAAAACAAAGAGAGATAACCATAGAAGATGTGGAAAGAAAGGGAGAGGAAGTTAAAAGAAAAAGGACAATTTAATACAAAAGCAGTGTCAAAAAAATGTCTCAACAATATATAGCAGACATGTCTAGCCATAATTTACTGAGTAGTAAAGGAAAATTAAAGTAATCATCCAAAACAGTATGCAATGCAACATTCATTATAATTGATTCTTTTTTATGTAAAAATTATCCCAAAAAACAAAATAACAATTTAAGCTTCAATATTTTTTCAATTTCATCACATACTTATTGCATAACCTGGTCTTTTTAAGATTTACTTTGAAGGATACATTTAGTTTCACACAAGAAGAATCTTTACCTTATTCTCCATTGACAATGAAATGGAAACCTCAAGAGTTCATTTCACCAGAAATGGAACAAAAAGGCATGCACATAACCAACAAGACACTCACGCTATAAAAAGCACTATAAGTCAAGCCCAAACAAAGGAGGGAAAGGAATTAATGTCCTAATGATAAACTTACCAAAATAAAATTTTTTCGGGCACATGCAAAACATTCAATTCCTCCAGGATCCAACAACACAAAGGCATGACTTGAAACAATACATCCACAATGAATCCGCTGCAAAGAATGATTAATCATCAGTTAAAACTACATATTTCAAACTCCGCTTCAGGAATCTGTAAAACCCTTTGCATGAAACATAGTAACAGTAACACTGGTAAAGCATTCAAGCAACATTAATCATCAGTTAAAACTACATAATTCAAACTTAGCTTTGGGAGCCTATGTAAAATCATTTGCAACATAGTAATAGTAACATTAACAAAGCATTTCAAACAACCATGATAAAGATTTGGCTCACCTTCCTACAAGTCTCACAACTCCTCCAACCAGAAGCACTTGAGTGAAAAATCTCACAGAACCTCCCTTCTTCAAAAGCAGAGCTAAGCATCACAGAACAACCAAATTTAAAAAAAATAAAAAGGATAGAACATCGCATCACACGAGAAAAAATGTCAAAACACAAATGATAAGCAACAGGCTTGACTATTTACATGTGACCAATTAAATTCTTGATTAAGAAATTCATTATCAAGGACAAAAAAACAATGCGCGTTTGTCTATTTGCTCTTTCCATGATAAACAAACAGTAAAAACATGTTTATGCAATCAGTGAGGACAACCTCTGCTACTGAAGCTATTAAAACCTCTTACGGCAGAAAGAACAAAATTCTTTTGACCAGGTAACACATTAGATCCTTTATGTTGTCCATTCAGTTTGTACATAATCCAACCATGGGGATGGAAAATATAAATAATTTAGAGAATCACATTGACTCAACATAATTTGGGATGAACAAGGCGGTTTTGATTTGAGCATTCAGACAGAATAAGTTACACATATTAACTAAAGATACACACAACTGCTTTAAGATGAATATAGAAAATAATATATCAGAGCCACCATAACCAGAAGAAATGTTGAACTCAAACTAAATATTTGAAAAATACACGAAATAAAAAAAGATATCTTTGTGGTAAGAAAGATGACTTGCCTTCAGCAAACCATCACCAGGAAAAAAACCAAAAAAAAAAAAACACACACACACACAACAACAACAACAAAGATTAACCTCCATTACTTGACATCTACTGAAGCAACACAAAAGACAACAATCATGGCTCATTAGTGAGGAAATCTGCAACTAGTGAAGCAAAAAGGAATCATCCATTTAATATTAAACTTTAGTTTAATGAGGAAAATCCTAATATCACTCAATGCAATTCCTATTCCTACTGCAGGAATTTTTCTTTAATAAAACGTTGCCCAAAAGCACAATTAGGAAATAGTTTAATTAACTTTCATCCCCCTCTTCAGCATAGAGAATTTCTCCATAGCTAAAATGTAGTTATTACTATTAGTAGCACATAGCACAGTTACAGCAATCAGGCTACAGCAAATAGCATATCACATAGCTCTTTTGAAAAATATAATACATAAATGTAAATACTGTCGGTATATTTAATATAATTCAAAATGACAATAATGTGAAAATAAACTACTAATGTATATCAAAAACTAAAAGAAAAATAATTCATACAACTCCTAAATATCCAAAATCTAAATGACTAAGCATAAAACATAATATTAAATATTTAAAATAATATAATTATCAATGTTGAAGGTGTTCAAAGTCTTGGCGTAGACCTGCATTGACTACAATAACCAACCATTTTCCTGCTAGGTACAGTGGTTACATGCAGTAATCATCACCATTGAGCTCTACCAAAAACCATATTTCCCGTAAAACAATTTAGAGCAAGGTATTTTTTAAAAGTTTTTTCTCTCCGGGCTTCTTAGGTCTTCCTCTACCCCTATGAATCAGATTACCTTTCATTTGATCCACTTTCTCACTAGGGCCTCTAGTGATCTCCTTATCACACGACCAAATCACCTAAGCCAAGCTTCCATTATCATCTACTCGATAAGTTCCACTCCAACAATCTAACTCTCCCCAGGCATCTCCATTTCTAATCTTAAATTTTCTTGAATATCTACTTCAGCATTCTCGTCTCCACTATACTTTCTTTTTACCCTTAAAGACCATTCTTGTCCCAACATTTACAGATATAAATTCTTGCTGGTCTTATAGTCACACACTTGAATTTTCCTTCAAATTTGGTAGGCACTAGATCAGAGATACAGAGGTTTCCAGAGAAACCAGGCCACAGACTCGGTGAAGGTCAATCTTTTCATATGAGAAGTGATGCAGGGACTAGGGAAAAACAATGGGGTTTAAGGTAAACCAAGGGTCCAAGGACTGTTATAATAGCGCATATGGATAACATAACATGCGAAATAGCAGCACTAAGAAACTTCCCAGTTCCCACAGTACAGTAGTGCACTTATAACGAAGACCAGTTATATGTGTTACATCTCAGTACTAATAACTATACTATGCCACTATTGCACACGCTCAAACAAATACACTAAGCACGGGAGCTCATGCTAAGTTTCTATTGTAGTTGAAATAATGACAACAAACAGCTTTGGAACCACAACCACATAAACTGAGAACCATCAATCCCATCTCTATGCTTAACTTAGTTCCAAATTTGAAACACTACAGAATTAGAAAAGTTCCAGTTACATTTCAGACTGCAATAACTGTAAGAACTGGGGAAATCAAAGAGGCGTGTGGAACTCATACCACCGGAACCCAAAGAAAAAGAGAGAGACCGTCGCCATTTAATTCAAAACCATCCTATGTATATCTCTTTCATTCATAGCTCAACCTAACAGCAACAATACCCTCTAAAACAGATATTTTTTTCAAACAACATACTAAAGCAGTAAACTTTATCCAAATTTGCAGGAGGAATGCCCAAACCTAGAAACCTCAGCTAAATTACAATCCAATCTCATAAACTAACTGCCACGTGTAACTTGCTCCGAAATCCAAATTCAAAAAAAACAAAAACCAGCAAGAGAGAATAAAAAGGTTTGTATTTAAAAAAAAATAGAAATAAAAGAAGAAAAAAATAGGAAATTTTGGTTTCTGAAAAAATTGAAAGAGAAGAGTGTACGAGTGAAGAAAATAGCAAAAGGCGTAGAATCACTAACCCGCATCGATCACAAAGCTCGGCTAGTTCTCCGCTACGGAGTCTCCAACCTTTCTTAGGTCTTTCGGGCTTCAATTCCTTGCAGTCAGAATTGAAGCAGAGTTTGGAGGAAGAAGAGGAAGCCGATGCCATAGCGAATCCGAAGCGGAACGAATCCACCAACGCAACGGCCTGATCTGCAATTAGCGAGAAGGAGTGGAAATAGAGAGAGAAAAGGAAGAGGGTTTTAGAGAGAGAAAGTAGAGAGTAGCAGTGAGTGTTTTTTAAGTGAGAGAAAAAACGGGGTTTTAAAAAGTAGCAGTAGTTGTTGTTGTTACTGTTCATTCGGCGTCGTCGTTTCTCTCTCCCTCCGGACAAAATTGGAATTTTCCACATCATCATTACTAATTAATTAATTAAAAGTTACTAGATTTAAGCTTACATAAAAATATGAATCGATAATTAAGGTTATGTTTGGAAATATGCGTTTTTTCTCCCTAATATCATCATCATGTCATAAAAAAACAAAAGAAGGAGACTTTTAAAACACACTAGGGCACCGGTCTGTTGTTGACGTGGTTTAGCCTTTGTCCGTTTTCATATTAAAACAAGACATGGTGAGGATGGATTGATTTAATAAATAGCACATGCTTTACGTTATAGTATTTATATAAAATATATAATATAAATATAAAATATAAAATAGGGTAATAAAAGCAGTTGAAAAACATAAGAAGTAAAGAATCTAAAAGGTAGAAAGTAAAATTGGGAGGAGAAGGGTAGATGGGTAATTTGAAGGGGGTTGACTGGTGGCGAACGCGTTGGAATCGAAGCTGAGGAATGAGGATAATGGGAGCACGTGAAAGGAATGGAAGGGCCGAGTGGAGTGTTATTGTCACCAGCTGAGCCTCAGACCGGGGATTCTTCACTTGTAAAGATAATTATAATATTTATTATTAGTTAAACAAATAATTTTATAAAAAAATTAATTCACTAAAACACGGATCTTGAGTTTTTCTAAAGCCAATTTTAATAGAGAACATCTCATTATTTTTAGTTTTATTCATGTCAATTATTATTTTGCTACGCATAAATATAAGTTTGTACAAAATTCATAATGTGAAGTTAATTATATCATACTATTTATTCTTGAATATTAAATTATAATGTATCCATTTAAGAAAAAAATATCCTATTTAATATTAAAAAAATTGATTAATTTGAAAATTAAAATTAACTTATTCCTGAAGCATGGAGATTCATTAGCAATTCTTTTAGTAGAGATATTTATGATTGAAGTGTTGTGAGAATTCATGTATGCAACCAACCAAGCAACTAAGTACTCTGCACATATCTTCATTTCATAAAAACATATATAGTTTACTTAGTTTGTTTAATATATTTGCACGTCAAGATTGAGACAACCCGTGTTTCATGGTAGAAGAAATAGTTTTGGAGCAATGGTTCTTCCAACTAAATACATGCATTGAAGTTGAAAATGACAAGGCCAACAACCAAATGGACAGGTGTGGGTAAAATCCTTAATGATCGCTAGCTCGAGATGAACAAGGACAAGAAACAATATGATTTTTCGTGTGATGATATGATAAACACGAGAGCGAGTGAGAGATGTTTGGCACAAAAGTGATTAACGAACTAATCTCGACCACATCTAAGCAACAACGTTGTTTTCCTAGTTGGTTGTTTCCTGCGAAAAAGCAACACGTTTGCATAGTGTGTCCACTGACGGATTACCACACGTCCCTGATTCCCTTTTTATCATTGCTATAATTTCCAGCCGCTTCATCTGTACTAGATTAATTCAAGGCTAATTCAAACTTCCAACTATATATAATTCATCAACTACATACATCAATCATCAAACATGTTTGTAACCAAAGGGTGCGTGAAGGACGACCATCCATGTCGAGTTTTTTTTTTTCTTTTCAATATGCAATGTTGATGAGGTGAGGATAACAAATACCGCGAGACAAATCCAAAACTTATTCTACTTATTGCCATACTTCTTAGTAATAATATGGTTATTTAAAAAAATACAAAACTTATTTTATTGAGATTCTTTTTAGTAATGATATGTATAAAAAATTGCATACATTATTTTTTTCTCTATTTTTATATTATTAATAAATATAACAAATGATATGATAGATAGGTAAATACTAAAAATAATGTTATATAAATTATTGTATAAGAATTATTTTTGGTATCTAATTATCTATCATTAATCTACACATATTATAAAAGAATTATATTTTAATAATTATTTTTTTATTATCAGTTTTTTAGGATACACTTTTATTTTTAAATTTATACTACACACTTTAATTTTTAAAAATTACCTATTTTTAAATCTTAATATTATTTTTCTTTTTTTGCTATAACCTTCTCTCAAAATCTCTCAACAAATATATATATATATATATATATATATATATATATATGTATTTTTTTCCTACTAATAAATATAATAAATGATCAATATAATAAATCATACGATGAAGACAGAGAGATAGATAAGAATAATGATGCGGTAGAAGTATAATTTTCCTAAAACATTCATCGATTACCAAATATCACACATAAAATTCAATATAAAATAATAATGCATATATTATTTCAGGTAAGGAATGGTTTCTTAATCTAAAACAATAAAATATTTAATTGAGGTATATAATACTTAAAAACGCATTAATTTATCTTCTTTCAAAGAAATAGTTTGAACGCTAACATGTAATATGCGAAATATTGTTTTCTTCGACCTGATTAATCCTTAAAGTTATTTTATGTGTGTGTCCACAATTTTTTTAAAAAATATGATATATCAATATTGTGCATGTCCAAATTAAATATGTCATTTGTCTTTAACTATTAAAAAATAATCTTTCATTCAAGTTTGTCCTAACGACGTAAATTTATAGTTTGAAGTTTTTAAATGTAAAAGATTGTGATCACGCTAATTGTTTATATTTTCATGTGATTTCATTGTTTGAAGTTTTAAAATGTAAAATAGGGAGATGAGTTTGCAAAAGTTGAGGCAATATATACAAGATTTCAAGTTTAAACTTTATTGTGTTATTATAATTTTGATGGATAAAAATAAATAATAAAAAAAGATTGGATTAATTTTTTTTAGTTTCAATATAGAAAAAAAATATAGTAATATTGAAAAATTTTAAATTATATGTATTTTCATGTGATTATAAGTATTTTCATATTAAAATAACTAATATTATATCATGATTATACCGAAATGACTATTTTATTTATATAAAAAAAAAAAAATAGACTAGCTGACATTTTTTCACACACGTTAGTACTTTTCCATTTTCTTTGGTCATTAGAAATAAAATATAAGAAAGGAAGCAATATGTTTTTCTTTAAAATTGATCCACGCCACGTGGTACTATTTTTTCAACCTTTAGAAAATTAATAATATATGCGAAGAAGAATAAAAGATGTATTAAATCAAAAGTGGAAGATAAAGAATGTGAAACCTAATTGAAGGCAATCCAGGTTCTTTCACAACCTCTCTTGTAATGGTAACTACTGAATTTTGCCATTTGGCTCGATTATGTGGGTGTTTCCGTGAAGAAGTACAAAAAGTTACAAAAACAACTCAAGTGCCTTTTATCATGCAAAGCCCTTTTTTAAAATTTAAAAAAAAAAAGTGCATAAAGAATCTGAGTTGCTTATTACTATAGGTTAAGATGAATTTTATTATATTGCTATTTTATCCTTGGTGCAAGTATTAATTAAAAAAAATGGCCATGTGCAAATAAAATAAACTGTTCTTAATTTTTTTACTTATTATTTCAATAGATTCATATAGAATAATAAAGATAAATCATAGAGGTAGTAAAATGAGTGATCTAACCGATCCAAAAGGTCAAATTGTGAAAAACATATCATACTAAAAAAAATTTAAGGAACTGATGAAGGAAGAGCATCCATTAACAAAACAATATTTAAAAAAGTTGGTTGTGTTGTGATAATATTGACAAAGTGTTATTATTAGTCAACCTTACATTACAATCAATTTTTAAAAAGCTCTTGCCAACTTGAGACACTAAGACCTAATTGTATAATCAAAAAATTGAAGAAATCAAATAAATGATACTTTACAAAGGAATCAAGAAAAAAGAGAAAAAAACAAAAAGAACTAACAAGATTTTCACAATGATGTAAAGGTGATTATATATATGTTTTTTTAGTAAAATAGTTGATAAAAAATAATATTCATCATGATCATCATATTAAAAATCAATGACACGTTAGAGATACTTATATTAAATAATATTATTCATTTAGTGATAAAGGTAAGTATATGAACTAAGTTGATTTATCCCTTTCATATAAATATTAAATTGTGACCTCCTTGAGTTTGCATTTTAAATAGGCCTATCTCCTTTAGACTTGCATAAGTGTGTGAGTTTATCGGTTAATCCATAGATTTACTAATACACTTTTTTAAAATTTCAAATTCTTTCTATAAATGATAAAAATATATTAATCATTCCTTCTTATACACAAATATTAGTATTTTCATCTTCTTCAATATATAAATTATATTTATATAACTCACAAACCCACGAGCTCAATTTATTTAACCCGCGAATTATTCGGACAAACTGAATAAACTCACGATTAAAAATAAGTTCCTATTTTTAAACCAAGGCCTATAAAATTATAAATTAATTCACATGCCACAACTTTTATATATCTAGCTCGATCGGTAGTGGCGTGAAATTGAACTTGGGATAGTAGATGAATAGATCCCACAACAAAAGCCTACATAAAAGAAATTCAAATGGGAAAAAGTTGAACATATATATCTAATTGTGGCGGTGGGGATTAATTTTGCTAAGAGCCATATCTTAATTTACATGTGTCAAAATCAAGTGTGCAATTGCTTCATCTCCACCTTTTGTTTTAAGAACTATTATATCCATGGTGATAAAAGCAATTGCATGACCACCTGTTTAGAGGGCTCCAACATCAAATTCAAGGTCGGCATGAAAAATGCATTAATGGTTGTGTAAATCTATAAGTTTAATTGCATATTTTTTACGTATGTTTCATAAATTCTTTTTCAAATTTAAAGTATATTTTAATTATTAATTTTGAATTTTTTCTCATTTTGCAATCTATTTAATTATTTGATGATTAACTACAAACGTAATATATTATTTCATATTATTATTCAAATATCATATCAATAATTTATATTAACAATTAATGTAACACATTAATAATTAATATGTCATGTTAAT